AAAGAATTTTCTACACTAAAGTCAACATGATTTTTATTATAGGCAAAAATTATGTCAGCAAATAACTAAAAGACTAGCATCTAAAAAATGCTAGGACTCAGGACATAACAACATAAAAATTCAACACTGATTTCTCATAAAAGTTAAACTGATAATTAGTACTAGTATTAAAGATAGACATACAGACCAAAGGAAATGAATTGAGATCAGAAATAAATCCTAATGTCTATGTTATTAGTCAGCTTGGGCTGCCATAACAAAAATCACAGACTGGTGACTTAAACAGAACTTTATTTCTCACAGTTCTGGAAGCTAGACATCAAGATCAGGTGCCACCATGCTGGGGTTCTGGTGAGAACTCTCTATGGCTTGCAGTTAGTCACCTTTTCACTGTATCCTTACATGGCATAAACAGAGAGAGAACAACTCTCTCTGGTGTCTCTTGTTATAATGGTACTGTTCTTATCATGAGGTCCCGTCTAAACTTAATTTACCTCCCAGAGGCACAGTCTCCAACTACCATCACATTAGGCAGTAGAGCCTCAACACATGAATTTTCAGGGGAAACAACTCAGTGCACAGCAATAAGCAACTGATTTTCAACAGGATATACTGACAATTCAATGGGGAAAGAATAGTCTCTTCAAAAATAGTACTGGGACAACTAGATATTCAACACACGAAAGAATAAAGTCGGTCCCCTTCCTTATACTATATACAAAAATTAACTCAAAATGGATCACAGACTTGAATGTAAGAGCTAAAAGCATAAACCCAAAAAATTTGTAGAAAAAAGTGTAAGAATAAATCTTTGTGATCCTAGAATAGGCAATGGTTTCTTATCTATAATACCAGCAGCACAAGTGACAAAAGAAAATTAGATAAATTAGGCTACATTAATGGAAAAGGCAATGGCACCCCACTCCAGCACTCGTCTGGAAAATCCCACGGACGGAGGAGCCTGGTTGGCTGCAGTCCATGGGGTCGCCAAGAGTTGGACACGACTGAGCGACTTCACTTTCACTTTTCACTTTCATGCATTGGAGAAGGAAATGGCAACCCACTCGTGTTCTTGCCTGGAGAATCCCAGGGATGGGGGAGCCTGGTGGGCTGCCATCTATGGGGTTGCACAGAGTCAGACACTGGAGCGACTTAGCAGCAGCAGCAGCAGGCTACATTAAAACTCTAAAACCTTTTTGTTGTAAATGACACCATCAAGACAACCCACTGAACAGAGGAAAATATTTGCAAATCATATGTCTGATAAGAGCCTATTTTCTAGAATACATGAACTGTCTTATAACTCAATGACAGAAAGACAAATAATCCAATCGAAAAATGGACAAAGGATGTGAATAAACAGTATTACAAATAACAAGCACAAGAAAATATGCCCAAATCATTAGCTACTGGGGAAGCACAAATGAACTCCAATGAGATATCACTTCACATACACTAGGATGGCTATAATAAAAATGACAGAAGATAACAGCATGTGTTACAAGGATGTAGAGAAAATGAAACCTTCATACACTGTTTGAAGGTATGTAAAATGGTATAGCCTCTTTGGAAAGAGTTTGGCACTTCCTCAAAAAGTTTAACATAGAATTACCATATGATCCAGCAATTCCACTCCTAGGTATATTGACCCAAGAGAAATGAAAACATAGGTTCACACACACACACACACACACACAGACAAACTGCATAGCAATGTTCATAGCACAATGTGCTGTGTGCGCTTAGTTGCTCAGTCGTGTCCTACTCTTTGTGACCACATGGACTGTAGCCCACCAGGCTTCTCTGTCCATGGTGATTCTCCAGGCAAGAATACTAGAGTGGGATGCCATGCCCTCCTCCAGGGGATCTTCCTAAGCCAGGGATAGAACCCAGGTCTCCCGCTTTGCAGGCAGAGTTTTTACTGTCTGCTTCACCAGGGAAGCCCAAGGATATTGGAGTGGGTAGCCTATCCCTTCTCCAGGAGATCTTCCCAACCTAGGAATCAAACTGGGGTCTCCTGCATTACAGGCAGATTCTTTACCAGCTGAGCTACCAGGGAAGCCCTCATAGACCATATGATCCAGCAATTCCACTCCTAGGTATATACTCAAGAGAAATGAAAACAGGTTCACACACACACACATATTGCATAGGCATATTCATAGGAACATTAACCAAAAGTGAAACAACATAAATGTCCATCAACAGAAGAATGGACATATAAAATGTGGTATTGCCATACAATGAAATATTATTTGGCAATAAGAAGAAATGAAGTAGATATATGCAGCAGTATGGATAAACCCAGAAAACATTATGCTTAATGAAATAAGCCAGGCTCAAAACCCACAAATTGCATGATTTCATTTATGTGAAAAGGCCAGAAGAGTCACGGAAAATAGATTAGTGTTCCCTAGTGCAGGAAGTGAGGGAGTGTAGAGTGACAGCTAATGGGTAAGGGGTTTCTTTTGGGGGTATTGAAAACGCTCCAAAATTAAATTGTGATCATAACTCTGTGTAAATACTAAAATCACTGAATTATACACTTGAAACGGATCAATTACATCTGAGATATGAATTATACCTCAATAAAGATGCTTTTAAAAACCAGTAATTGACAAACCTGTAGTACTATACAATGACACAACTGCCAGTACTGGCTTCAAAACTTAAGTTCCACATTTACATAACATCATTATTAAACACTAAAATCAAGAATCACTAATCAGTACATACTTAGACCTCACAAACAGGACCAAATAAATATCTGCTGAATAAGTGTATGTGATGGGGGTGTGACAGAAAAATTTAGAATATCATTAGAACAATACTATCTTCCATATACTGGAAAAAGGGAAGAAGTTATGAGAGGGCAGGATTTAAATGAATGAAATGAAATAAGCACCTCAAGCTTCACAAGTGCAAAAACTTAGTTAACAATTTTTATGGTGCCTATTGTCTGCCAGGCATTTTACAGATGAGGAAATTCTAGGCAGGAGGGATGAAGTCTGAGGCACACAGCTACCGAATAGCAGAGCAGGGAATCTGAATCCAGGCACTCTAGCTCTACAGTACATGTTCTTAAACTCGAAAGTGTTAAAGTCCTCTCTAAAGTAATTGAAATGGATTTTTTAAAAAAAGAGATGTAATTCTGAGGAACTACCTTAGAAAGTATTTCCCTTCTGGATACATTTGGCAAAGAATGAGGATCAAATAATTACACATCTATGCAGATAACAGTAAAGCATTAAAATGAAATTCTATTTAATTAGAATACAGATTAATTTAGTGTATCCCATGATTTAGCTAATGACAATTCACCAAACATGAGTACCCCAAATTACTAAGAAGTTCGATGGATGTCCTCTTCAAAATTTTTGGGTTTTTTTTTTCCATTTATTTTTATTAGTTGGAGGCTAATTACTTTACATCATTGCAGTGGTTTTTGTCATACATTGAAATGAATTAGCCATGGATTTACATGTATTCCCCATCCCGGTCCCCCCTCCCACCTCCCTCTCCACCCGATCCCTCTGGGTCTTCCCAGTGCACCAGGCCCGAGCACTTGTCTCATGCACCCAACCTGGGCTGGTGATCTGTTTCACCCTAGATAATATACATGTTTCAATGCTGTTCTCTTGAAACATCCCACCCTCGCCTTCTCCCAGAGTCCACAAGTCTGTTCTATACATCTGAGTCTCTTTTTCTGTTTTGCATATAGGGTTATCGTTACCATCTTTCTAAATTCCATATATATGTGTTAGTATACTGTAATGGTCTTTATCTTTCTGGCTTACTTCACTCTGTATAATGGGCTCCAGTTTCATCCATCTCATTAGAACTGATTCAAATGAATTCTTTTTAATGGCTGAGTAATATTCCATGGTGTATATGTACCACAGCTTCCTCATCCATTCGTCTGCTGATGGGCATCTAGGTTGCTTCCATGTCCTGGCTATTATAAACAGTGCTGCGATGAACATTGGGGTGCACGTGTCTCTTTCAGATCTGGTTTCCTTGGTGTGTATGCCCAGAAGTGGGATTGCTGGGTCATATGGCAGTTCTATTTCCAGCTTTTTAAGAAATCTCCACACTGTTTTCCATAGTGGCTGTACTAATTTGCATTCCCACCAACAGTGTAAGAGGGTTCCCTTTTCTCCACACCCTCTCCAGCATTTATTGCTTGTAGACTTTTGGATAGCAGCCATCCTGACTGGCGTGTAATGGTACCTCGTTGTGGTTTTGATTTGCATTTCTCTGATAATGAGTGATGTTGAGCATCTTTTCATGTGTTTGTTAGCCATCTGTATTTCTTCTTTGGAGAAATGTCTGTTTAGTTCTTTGGCCCATTTTTTGATTGGTCATTTCTTCAAAAATTTTGACAACATACAAGCCAGGAGATTAGAAAGTTATGACCTCATATTTTTTTAAACATATATAATTTAATGCTTTACATAACAATAATACAGAAATCAGTATGTTGCAATGGTTCTCAACAGGGGGCAATCCTAACCCACAGAGGGCATTCGGCAATCTCTGAAGACATTTTGGTATTTACAACTTGGGGTCAGGGCTCAGGAAGGCTAGGAGAAGTGCCAATGACAGCTAGTGGCTGAGGCCAGAGATGCTGCTAAGCATCCTAAAATGCACAGTACACCCCCACCCAACAAAGAATTATCCAACTTAATAGTGCCAGGGTTAGGAAACCTCAGCATCGAGTAACTCATTCAAATTACTGGGCAGCGGCACCATTGCTCCTCTCTCAGGATCAATCTCAAATTAGAAATTAACCTTTCTGAATACTAATCCTCTAAAAACTTAATACTAAGACTCTACTAACACTAATTATTAAGATAACATGGAATTTAAATGAATGGATTTCTTAGAAGGCTATAAAACAGCTATGAAAATACATGAAATACACACACACATATGTTTAAAAAATAAACAAATACATACTAGATTTAAGTAAGAGAAAAAAAGATAAAGAAAGCACTTACTGTAAAAATGTTCTAAATTCTGAAGCTTCAAAGTTCTCCACAGTGACATGTTCATGATTTTTTAAGTTATTTGTTTGTCCAACAGTATGAAAATAGAAGTCAGGAACCCTTGCTAAAAGGACTGCTTTGTGTACTTTGAACAAAGTACAACCTATAGAGAAAGTAATATCTGTATGCACTTCTTCTCTTAGAAGCCTATAAGGAATAAAAAGGAACAACAGTTTAATTAGTGATGCTTAGAAATATATAATACACTCATTTTTATAAAATAAGTTTTTAAAATAACACATAAACTAAAAATACAGATATCAAAATAATATGAAAATGAGTTTATTCTCAAGTCATTCAAAGAACATTGTTTAATGTTGGTTTAGAATGCAATTCTCTAAAATTTATAATGAAAACAAAGGTAATTACACTGAAAAAGACTACTTTTTCAAAAAATATCTTTTCAATTCCTTCTAACAATAAAATTCTCTTCTACATAGTTTGATTTTCCTTTAAAATGTACATACTTTAGATTTATTTTGGAAAGAGAACACAAAGGCATGTGTTCATTGACTATTGAATCAACTTTTAAAAATCTTAACTAAAACTGAAGCCAAAAAAGTAAACAGCAAACCAGATGTGGTAAGAAACTGGTACACTATTGTGTTCCATTGTTAAATACAAGTCTGAAATGCAGGCTTAGCTGTCAAGAATGTGACATTTAAGCCTTTTTTCATCGACCACCCCCCCCCCCAAAAAAAAACAGAACTAATCATGCTCTAATCTATTATCAAAATGATGGACTGATGTGGAAAGCCCATTCAATGTGGACAATAGCTAATGTGCAGACATAGTTATGGTAAAGCTGTCATGTAAAGTGACGGAAGGACAGAAACCAGCATCACAAGAGAAAACTCATACAATCTCTTTTTCTGTGTGCTAACTCTGTATTTTTACTCTGCAAACATTAAATAATACTTCATATTACATAACATTATCATCAGCAAGGTATGCATTCTCAGAGGACTTCTGTATTGCAGGATATAACTGGTGATCACACTAAAACACTACAGGAGGTACAAGTATGGATAAAGACATCCATTATAGTAAAAGCTTAGAATGTTGCCTTTGACACACTCCCCCAAGACTCAGTTAATGGTTCCTTCCTCTGGTCCCTCAGTACATACCTCTATAGCACTTTTGTCATCACATCATTATTATTTTTATATATCTTTCTCCCTACCAGATAATGAACTCCCTAAAAGCAAAAACTGTGTATCTTCATTAGATAGCTCAATATCTGCTTTTTGGATTTTGTTGTATTTTACCCTAAACAAAACAAGTGTTTCAGAGCACAAAGCTTTTAGAACCTTGGAAACAATGACCAAACAAGATGCATTTTAGTTACTATTTTAATAAATTATTTTCATAATTTTAAATTTACACAAAATTTACATTGTTAAATTTACACAAAAATGTATTGATTTTCCAAACATTAACGAAAACTCAAATTGTACAAATACTCCATTTGTTCTCCTTCCCACCCATCTTCTACCCTTCCCCTGCTGCTCTCCAAATAAATAAACAAGCATTTACTTGGGGGAGCTGACAGCCATACAGCTCATTAGGGAATCTGCCTTGTTTATAACAGATGCTCATAAGTATTTGTCAAATAAAAAAAGTCAATGTGTTTTTAAAAATGTTAACCTGAAAATACAGTGCTTTTTATTTTATAAAACCACTTGGATCAATTACAAATATATCCTGTTATCTGTTGCTGTTGTTTAGTTGCTAAGTTGGGTCTGACTCTTGCGACCCCATGGACTGTAGCCCATCAGGTTCCTCTGTCCATAGGATCTCCCAGGCAAGAATACTGGAGTGCATTGTCATTTCCTTCTCCAGGGGATCTTCCTGACCCAGCGATCAAACTGGGTCTCCTGCATTACCAGTAGGATTCTTTACCACTGAACCACCAGGGAAGCCCTTGTTATCTGTTACAAGTAACAATACCTGACTAAGGGGAGGTTTATGGTTCATGTAATAATAAACCCTAGTGGAAGGATATGTTGGAGGAAAGGCTCAGTGGTGTCCAGACCCAGCTTCCTTGCATCTTATTTCTCTGTCAGGTACTGTATTCACCTATCAAAAGCATTTTAGTCCACTGATTAAACCAAACTTCTCACTAAAAAGGTATTGAGCGTGTAATATGATCTAAGCACTAGGGACACAAAGATGACTAAAATATAGTATCTGCCCTCAAGGAGTTTATAGAAGAGATGGAGGCCAGGTCTGAAAATTAGAAAGTATGAAATATTCAATAGGACAAACCAGTAAAATTTTTTCAGGGACAGTTATAATAGAAGACCTTATAGACGACAGGAAAACCATATGGAATTTTAAAGACTGAGTAAGAGTTGGTCAAGAAAGCAATGCAAAGGAGGAGGGATTCCTGCCTCCATGTTCCTTACAAAGGTTTATGTGAGTGTGGAGCTACAAACTGGTAAATAGATTACTGAGAGGTTAAGAAGGGACAGATGAAGATGCAGGGATAAAGATGAGTAAGAGGCAAAGAGCTTAACTCTATCTCACAGCTGAAGGGGAATGACCAAATAGTTCAAAACATGGGCAATTTTAATTTTCAAAACATCATCTATTACTGTATAGAAAACAAATCAGGGGAAAATGAGACTGGAGGGAGAAAAACTACTGCACAACACAAATGAATGATGTACACAGCTTGTGCCAGGAGAGAAACAATGGTGATAGAAAATGAGGGATTAACTTAAAATATATTTAGGTAATAAAATGGCAGGAGTTGGTAATTGGATGCAGAAGGTGAAGGTAAGGAAATAACCTACGGAAATTATAAGCAAGGTGAAAAGACAGCCTTCAGAATGGGAGAAAATAATAGCAAACGAAGCAACAAAGGATTAATCTCAAAAATATACAAGCAACTCCTGCAGCTCAATTCCAGAAAAATAAATGACCCAATTAAAAAATTCCATGGAATATTACTCAGCCATTAAAAAGAATTCATTTGAATCAGTTCTAATGAGATGGATGAAACTGGAGCCCATTACACAGAGTGAAGAAAGCCAGAAAGATAAACACCAATACAGTATACTAATGCATATATATGGAATTTAAAAAGATGGTAATGATAACTCTATATGCAAGAGAGAAAAAGAGACACAGATGTACAGAACAGACTTTTGGACTCTGTGGGAGAAGGCGAGGGTGGGATGATCTGAGAGAATAGAATTGAAACATGTATATTATCAAGTGTGAAACAGACCACCAGCCCAGGTTGGATGCATGAGACAAGTGCGCAGGGCGGTGCACTGGGATGACCCAGAGGGATGGGATGGGGAGGGGGGTTGGGGGGTGGGGGGTTCAGGATGGGCAACCCCATCCTGAACATGTAAATCCATGGCTGATTCATGTCAATGTATGGCAAAAACCACTACAATAGTGTAAAGTAATTAGCCTCCAACTGATAAAAATAAATGAAAAAAAATCATAATGATCTTAAAAAAAAAAAAAGGAAATAACCTAGGATCTCTCTCATATTTAGCTTAAACAGCTGGGTACTGGTGATGTCACCAGTCATTTTATCTTCTATGCCAACTTCCCTCCTAAACTCCAGACATATTTTCAATTGTCCCCTGGATAAGACTTCCTGAATATTCACCATCCGCCTCCCTTTTGAATGTCCTAAGATTCAGCACCATCTTCTGTTTCTTTTTCTCTGTGTTTCCACATGTAATTGGTCACCATACTCATGAACTGCACAGAAAGCCATTTTATCTTTTCCTTTTTCACTGCCATTATGTATCCTCTGACTATCACAAAATCTAGTTGGTTTCCTTTTATTTTTTTTCCAATTTCTTTCCTCAAATCAAGATCTAATTATGCAAATCTTCCATTTTTAAAATATCAATGATTCTCCACTGCTTCCAGAATACATTCCAAATTCTTCACTGAAGAAAGGTCTCTATGATCTAGTCTTAGTTTTACCCATTCACCCTCATCTACTGTCACTTTGCTCGCCATACCCACAGTCCCCTCCCAAATAAAGCTACCAAATTGTGCCACATGTCCCTGAAGCTCTTAGTCACCTCTGAATGGACAATCGACTGAGCCAAGGTTAACCATTAGCCAATGTGGTAGTTAAACAAGTGAACTCTAGCAGAGATATTCTATAATAATCAAGAGCCAACTGACAGAACTCTTAAGGGAGTTTCAAAGAAAATCCAAGGTATAGTAAGAAAAGGGAATGGGTAAGGAGAGAAGCAGAAATGAAGGAATAAAGATACTGGAAGATCATTTCACATAACTACCATACTTTAGAGAAAGAAGACTGACTGGGTCTCTATTCAAGCCATGAGACCTTGGGCAAGTCACTTTAATATCCCTGGAACCAGACTGTGAAGGTTCTTATTCAGACTTAACCACTTCTCTTGATGCTTTGCTTCCTCTCCCTTTTCTAAAACCAGCTTGAACATCTGGAAATTCATGGTTCAGGTACTGTTGAAGCCTGGCTTGGAGAATTTTGAGCATTACTTTGTTAGCGTGTGAGATGAGTGCAACTGTGCAGTAGTTTGAGCATTCTTTGGCATTGCCTTTCTTAGGTATGGAATGAAAACTGATCTTTTCCATTCTTGTGGCCACTGCTGAGTTTTCCAAATTTGCTGGCATATTCCAGATGAACTTCCAGATGTTCAAGCTGGTTTTAGAAAAGGCAGAAGAACCAGAGATCAAATTGCCAACATCCACTGGATCATCAAAAAAGCAAGAGAGTTCCATAAAAACATCTACTTCTGCTTTATTGATTATGCCAAAGCCTTTGACTGTATGGATCACAATAAACTGTGGAAAATTCTTCAAGAGATGGGAATACCAGACCACCTGACCTCCTCCTGAGAAATCTGTATGCGGGTCAGGATGCAACAGTTAGAACTGGACATGGAACAACAGACTGGTTCCAAATAGGAAAAGGAGTACGTCAAGGCTGTATATTGNATGTCAAGGCTGTCTATTGTCACCCTGCTTATTTAACTTATATGCAGAGTATATCATGGGAAACACTGGGCTGCATGAAGCACAAGCTGGAATCAAGGTTGCTGGGAGAAATATCAATAACCTCAGATATGCAGATGACACCACCCTTATGGTAGAAAGGGAAGAACTAAAGAGCCTCTTG